CGCTCTGAGTGTATACACACCGGTCATCGTTATCGTTGCAACAAAATTCTTGCTAAACATACAATACGTGTTCCAAACCAACTTTCCACCCCTATAAACATCTAATGGCCATAATTATAGAGCCTAGGATGAATAAATAAATTTAATTTAAAAAATATTAATATTTGAGTATAATAGATATATTTAAAAACAAGATAATATTTTAATAATGTTTATTCACATTTTAATAATTTGCAATTTAAACGTAGATTGTAAGTCTTCAGAATCCAAAACAGTTTAAATTACAAGTGTATATTGATATTTAGGAAGCAATTATTTATGAGCCTCTCAAATTTTTAAACCATATAAATGCGAACGTTCTAATAATACATTAAAACATACAAAATGCTTTTATTTTTTTAAATGCATATACCTAATTTAAATAATTCATCGTAGTAATAACAAGTGTATTTACATAATATCACGGACGGTATTTTTTCTGAATAACTTCCGTTTCCACGTGATTATTGATCACTAGTAAACTAATCGACAGTCAGCACCGAGTTTATATAGATCATTACATAAGGTTTAATTACCCATATTGTATTTTAAATTACAATAATACTTCACCCTATTTATCACTGGTAGGTGTCTAATAATAATAATTACCAATACAGCCAGTCAGATACACATAAAAAAAGGCAAAAAGGTTGGAAATAAATTTATAAAAACTAATAATTTCTCTGTGAAAATTACCAACGTGTATGGTATATTTAGTATAACTTAAATTCGTTGAATATTTAACTAATGTATTTTTAGTGTTCTAGTATGATATTTTATTAGTAGGTATCCATATCGTTTTATATACCCATATCGATATCGATTTAGAGTTGGGAACTATTCAAATAATTATTCTTCATTGATTTATTTTTAATTTTATTATTGTCTTATTGATTTATATTTTTATTAATTTATATTTTAATTATTATTAATTATTCATTGTTGGGAGATATTTATTTACCATATTTAATTCATTATTTAGATATTGGTTATTCATTAATTCATTATTCCCTAAATTATATAAATATTAAATTTAAATCCTAAATAACGGTAATAATTTAAATCATATCGTTCTCGTACCTGTTCAACATTAATCACAAATACAACTATATTAACTGGGGGCTAAGGTCCTCTCCCACGTTTTACATAATTTAAGTACCGGTATTTTTAAATTCGTGAACATTTTTTACAAAAAAAATGTATTGTAAAAAAATTACAAATTATTTTTTTGTAGAAATGTACTAAAGTTTTATAATACATATTTTGACATTTAAAATTATTTTTATTGTTCCTGTGATTTAATTACACATTTGCTTTTAATAGTTATAATATTATATTATATAATAGTTTTCTGCTAGCAACCTATAATGTCTTGATAAGGCTCTACTCATTTCTACATGATTGCGATTAGTATAATACACGAGTTAAAAAAAATATTATATTATTTATGATTTTATCGAATACATTTATTCTGAATAATTGTTTTAATCACGAATAAAACTAATCAGAATAAGTTTATTCTTTATACAGTTTACTACAATTATCCTTTATTCATAAATAAATCAATTATGTACGCTTTTATTTTTCATTCATTATTTTGATTTGTTTTTTTCCAACTCAGTATCAATTTTGAATACCAACATACCGAAAATACATCCATCGTCAACTTTTTTACCATCATAACACAATTTTTTATATAAATTTATTATTTTATATTATACTTATTTATATCACAACAATAAATAATACCTAACACAAATATTATAAATGATATTGTGCTATTTAATTTACTTTACAATAAAGTGATGATATCTGATTAAATTATTTAATTTTTCTTTTATAAAATAATACATAGAAATTCATTTATGTTGATATTGATAGCGATGTACCTATTTAAACTGTACTGCATTTACACCAATATCGAAAATATTGTTCATCATCAATATTATTTTGAATTATTGTTTTTCTTATAAATAAAATGTTGTCGTAGTATAGTATATAAGGTTGAATATTATAGGTATTATTCTTTTTTTTATACTTTTTTTCTGGGTTAATGTATACATGAAAATATCCATTGCAATATCAAAGTATGACAATATCACTTTTTTGTGTTTATTTATTTAATGTTATTACCAAAATAATAAGTAATTTAATGTGTTTGTTAATCGTAACTGAGATTTAAAATGTACAMAAAACGTGAGTCACATAATATGATCAATATAAACTCGTACTAAACCTATAGATGAGTTGTAAGAATTAAGTATGAATAAACAACGTATCTATAAACTTTCTAAGAGTTTTAAAAATCGGTAAATTATGTATCATCATTTAAAAATCAGTAAATTTATTGACTGTCGTCATCTTGATCTGGGACATTTCAATAATATTTTTGAAAATGCCTTACATAACTGCACGAATGATTCTTCGTTGTTCACAAAATAAACACAGAGCATATTTTTTGTAGTCATTAAATGTCAGTATGGATCTATAAACTTATTCAMTGCTTGATAACAATCATGTTGTTGAGACGACATATATGTATAAATAAAATAAAATCTACATTCATTTCCACACGTTGATCATACTTAGTTATATAAAAATCGAATCGAATACTATACAAAAATTGTAAAATATATATTCAAAGTGTACAGTTTTACACGTTATGCATCATAAGCCTTGCACACAAAGAAAATATACACATTAAAAACATTTATGTATAATATTTAATATTTCATCTTTGCTTTTGTTTTATTTTTACTCAAATAGGTTTTTATTTTTTTCATGACATCAAATTTAAACTTTTTAACATATAAAATCTCCTTTATAACTGTCACTTGACATTTTTGTATTATTAATACATACATTTTCTTTCTGTGCTAATATTATCAAATTACAGAAATTTTAACACTGTATACAGTTATTACTTTGTTGGTAACTTATTCGATTTAGTATTTATTTTGAAGGAATAAAAGTTAAAAATTAACAGTAATTTTCATAATAGTTGAGAAAATCTAACGAAAAACAGAGACCTAAATTATATCATAACACCAATTTTTGACAAAATCAATTCTTTTGAAATTCATTTCGTTGTAAATTATTTATGAATACGACATACTTTGTAGGTACCTATACACATAATAGCCATCATTGGCGTCTAACATTTTTTCAGTGCTAATTTATCTTTGAGGTAGAAGATGATGAAATTAATCTTTATACTTCAATTTTATATCATCAATACTAACCTATCCGTTAAAGTACTTTTGTGTGTTCGTTTTTTATTCGTCAGGCGTAAGCTGATCAATAATTTCGCTTTGATTATAAATAGTACGTGATAATATTATGAAATATATGATTGCTTAATGACGTACCTATTTAATACTCTATTTTTCTATTAGTTTGTTACGTTATATCAGTCGTAAAAATAATTTTTCGTTGGTTTCTCTATTGACGTAACACAATTGATGAATATAAGATGAAAGTGACCTCTACTCTTATATAGATACGAGTATATACCTTGGTAGAAGGTATATGTTCAACAGACTTTAAAATGTATAATCTCTATCGACACTGAGGATATATGAGACTTGTATACGAAGTGTTTATGACATAATTTTTCGTTTTAATTGTTCATGTTCGCAGATGTTTTATTTTAAAGATTATCATGACATTGATAACGATAAAAAGATCCCTATCTACTGCAAACCTTATATATTTATCATACAATTTAACTTAAGACTATTCCAAACACCTGACTAACATTTTGACAATTCTTGTGATTGTTCAATTTAAAAAAATTAAAGTTTACTTTTTATTGGTTAAAAAATATTTTAAATAAATAATTTATCATAATTTATATAATATAAAAATTGATAATAATCTTCAAGTTTTATTCTTGACAAAAATCTGTTTAATATTAAAAAGGTGCTTGAAAGCTAAAATTAGACTTGTTCATAAATCCCAGCATATTTGTTTAGATACCTATAATTTATAATGGCGAACTACTGGTAAGAATTGTATGTTTGTCAGACATATAGAAAATTCGTGGCCATAAATTTGTTTCCAAGTATTTTGATCTGCTGTTGAAAATTACAAGTGCATGGGCGTGTGTAAATTCGTTTATGTATTTTATGAGTGTTTCACTTATCGTCAAGTGGTAATGATAGTACACATACTAATGATCTTTTAATACTCTTACAAAGACAAGTCAATTCTATTTATAGATACAACACCATTATAATAAAGCGTCTATCAAAAAAAAAAAAATCACCGAGATTTCTACATCGATTTGTTATAAGAATACAAACTGAACACTATTTGAAATCACATAGGTACATTGTAAAATTCATAAGACAAACTTACCTTTACAAACGATTACTTGGATTTACACCTATCGGATTCAAACTTTGGATTTATAAAAGCTCAATGTGAACAATTGATATTTATCCAGACCTCAAATTTTGAAAATATATAACTTTGTATTTTTAGATTTTTTTTTTTGTTTAAACTTTGTGATTTCAATTAGCTTCAAAAATTAGTTTTAAGTTTAAATCACATATTAATTTATAGTAAAAATCGGAATAAACTGAGCATAATCAGACAATCTCCATTTTTTTTTTTTTAAAACTTAATAATATGGACGAGCCTGAGACACCGATCTCCAAATAATCAAACTCAAAAAACACTTAAAAAATTGTCGACTTAATATTTTAAGAATTTATTTTGAACATCGCTTACAATTTGTTCTCGTTTCAATAAAATTATGACAAAAAAAAAGAAATTTGTCCATGTTGTTATGTAGGTATGTTAATTTGAAAAAAAATCAAGTTCACTCGTATTTTGCAATATGTGAGGGCTAATTGAATATTATTTAATCTATCTGTATTGAGAATTTTGCTTTTTATAAGATTCTAGAATCATTATAAGAAAGTGTGGTACGTGATTATTGTGTTTTTTGATTCCAGTTGTTGCGAAAAAAAGCCAGATTTCTGCTGGACGATAGTTTCGTGGATGGTCGGAGGAATGGGTCATCGGCAGAACCACATCTGTTCAGACGTTTGGGTGGTCGGTTTTCAGCCAACAAAAACCAGAACAATCTGACCGGGTAAGTGTGCACCGGATGGCATGCATTTTTAGCGTATAACACATAGTATAGCTTAGTGTAGCTCCACGCGATAATTATTATTGTTAATACCTGCAGATATTTAAAACAGACAACAAGCCAAACATGTTTTTGAATAATAGTTTTAGTTTGCAAGGATATTATTTGACCATGAAGTACTTTTCCGGTAAATATATCCTAATTTGATAAAAAAAAAATTGTTTCAATAATTCAAAATTATTACTGTAATTTGATGGGTTTAAAAATAATTTTATTTTTATTTTTATTTTAACATACTTTTAAATAAATGTTTTTTTTGCTACTGCACTACACTACACCCATAACAATTTTTATTTTTATTTTTAAAAACTCAGATTGTCTTAGAAAATTATTTTTCTGTGATAATAGTTTAACCAATTATTGATGGCATAATATAAAGTACTAGTTAGATAGCCGGTCATCTTTCCACGTTTCAGAATTCCACTTTATCTATAAGGCCCGACAGCAGTTGATTGGTGGCCAGCCATATTTCTCCTGTCTGAATATCACATCGGAGATTATGTTATAGAATAACACCGTTTTTTCAGAATATAAACTCACCGTTACTATGTTAAGCTGTTTTAATATTATTTTTGGGTTCCGTAGACTGTACTTAATTAAAAGAAATAACTCATCACATAACATTTTTAATTTTTAACGGGATCGTCGAGTGTTAGCTAGGTTGATAATATTTTTTAACACAAACTAAAGGCAGTGTATTGGTAGGTACCACCAATTAATATCATTAATAAAATCGATATTATAATTAAAATTATTGATTAAAACGAAATATGTTATAAACCTTGTCATTAAATAATTATTCAATTTGTATTACATTTTCAATATATGTGCAAATTATGCATAGCAGGTTAGCTTGCTACTTATATCCTTATTTCTTTAATTTTTGAGTTAATAATCATGAGTTTCGTTTAAAAACACCCAGTCGGATCTCACAAATACACTTTTAACCACCGTAATAGAGGTCAAATAGTGATGTTAGATTCTAAACGGATGGATGCATATAAGTATTATTAGTATATTATACAATTATTTGTGTTTAATTTGTATCTGTCATCACCTTTAGAGATAGTAAAAATGCTTTAAATCTCTATTTCAGTATATATTCTAGTTAAGAAAGTGAGTCATAATTGTTACATTAGAGGAGGAGGTCATAGTCCACAATCATTTTCTAAAGCGTCAATAATAATAAAAAAAAARTAATTAAATTAACAAAACATTGAGATTTGTAGTGGTATAGATAAATCTAAACAAAACTACCGTAGATACATGCATTTTTCTGAATTTTTTAGGACTTGGTCGTTTTTCGTGGTCGGGATTTTTCCGGATAAAATATAAATACAATAATTATTAATATTCTAGGTTATTCATATTCATAGTTGAAATAATCAACCAGTTTAAATAGATAACACATAATATTATCTTCCATCATTGACCGTTCGATGAGGTACAGCCGACGAAAAACATAAACATGTTCTAACATAACAATTTAGTTACTACTGCCACAACATTAACTAAATCGGCTTAACTAAAACGAGTTACATGCAATTTACTATAAAACTGAATTCGAAGAAAAACTTTTTTGTATTTGAAAAACTTACTGATTGTTAGATTTCAGTACTAAATATATGAGTAGTAGCAATAAACACCGACGGGTTTTTTTTTTATAGCGTTTTCATCGAATTATCTTGACTAGAAAATCACATTTATACAATACGCAGTCGCTTTTAGTGTTAAATGCGTAAGATCTGTTTTTGTATAGATTATCATTATTATAAAAATAATATTACTACACTTAACTTTACTTATATGCATAAATAAATKAATATAAACTTATTTAATATAATATGTGTGAATATAATATATCCACAATCGTGAGGAAACATTTTCCAAACGATATTATTTTTGATTAATAAATGAAATATTAATCAAATTATGACATGCGTATATTGTATAATATAATGTGATATTTTTTTCGCCACAATGTCTTAAAATTTATTGAGTTTCCTCATAGTTAAATCAAGTAGATAAATCACGTTTATGAAATATTATACAAAACTATATATTTTATCTTAAAACTTAGATTGAAATATTCAATTGACTTAAATAGTTTTGAAAATAATTATTGTTTGACAGACATGAAACTTATTCGTATTCGATCAAAACATTTAGCACAATTAAATACTAATTAGAGTATTAAGAGTACCTATTACATAAACATATACTAATCGATACTACTAAATTGTTAACCATATCGATTGGSAAGTATTTATTTGCATGAACTATAGACAACTATTTGACATAGTAATTTAAATTAATTTATATTGTATTTACTGATCCTATTCAATTACTTATAAGATGTTTAAGTCTAGATGAGCTAAGTGGAGTGTAATTAAGATATCCTTTGAAATGTAGGTTTACAGATTCACCCCTTTAAACTTTAAACAATTTATTCATGAATAATTGATTATAAAATTTGATTTTCGTGTATTGAAATTTGAAATGCTCAGAACAATATTCTGAGGAATATGATGTCAACAATTTCGTTCTGTGATAACTTAATATTATGTAAAAAAATATATTAAAAATATGAAAAATAGTGGTTATACAAAAAATCACCTTTTTGGTATATTAGAATAATGTTAAGAGAGAAGTTTCATACTAGCATAGTTATTATGTTTTTTAAATTTATTTATATCTAGTAATGTTACATAATAACATGTTTTATTTGAAAAAAAAATTTCAAAAATGTAAAAATATAAATATTTAAATTAATTTTATATTCATAATCAATGTATTATGTTACCTATATATTATGTATATTTAAAAATATTATTTTTTGTGACTCGGTTAAGATAAAAGCAAAAGTTGGTGCACATGGTTAAAAAAAAAAATAAAAAAAATAGCTATTAGTCAAAAATAATATGTTGTTCTGACACATCACCTATGGTTAAAATAAACTTTAACACCATTTACTGTTTCTATTGTTGCATTTAACTACTCTCAATTTTTTTTCTATAAATAATTACAACCGTTAGTTTGGCTTGATGAGAATAAGGGAATAAAACATGTTTTGACCACTTATACTAATTTAATTCATATTTATATTGTTTGTATTATTAAAATAATTTTATGAATTTGAATTAAATTTGAATCGTTTTCGGTAATACATATTTCAACTTCTATATGTATATTATAATCGTATTATATTAAAATTAACTTTATTTTTTAAATTAAATATACATAAAAAATATTTTTTAAATTGAAAAATTATACAGATATAAATTACACACGACATACGTAATAAAGATTTTTTTTAAATGAAAAATTACCCTCAATACCTTTTAAATTTACTTGAGTATAGTAACATGTTCATAGTTAAGAACCATTTCTTTTAATTTTCTGTCCATCTTCTCGTAAACTTTTTTTTTAACGGGTAGCTCACCAGATATGTATTTTTCAATGTTTGCTTCTTGAAGGTCTACATAACTGTAATATATTTGTAAGTTCTAATGGTGCCTAATTACGTGGCATAATATAAGAAAGGAAAAAGCAAAAGAAACAACAGGTACCGCCGCTTTTGAAGTATGCCCCCTCATATCTGACAGAGACTTGATAAACTCAACCAAATTCAAGTACCTACATGGATGAATGGCAAAAACCTCTGGGCTAAATGTGATAACCAGGGCTCAGAAGTTATAGCACTTATAAAGTAATTTTTTAGCGCTTTAATATGCACTTAAAAACACCACAACAAGCGCTATAAATAGCACTTAAAATTGGAAAATATGCAAATTAAAATTTCATTAACAAACATTTTTTATTTAAAATTTTTTTATAAACTAATTTTTAGACTTTTTTAAATTATACAAGTTTTATATAAAATATGATATAGGTAGTAAATATTTGAGAAGTAGGCACTTTTCCGRCTCTGGAACATTTTCTATCTAACCTTCGAACGAATTCGATAACTGCAGTACATTTAATAAAATTTTAAAAATAACTAAATTATTGGAAACGAATGGAATAACCTGTGCGATCGGCAATAGTAACTAAAATGTACCTAATGTTTGTTTTCGTTAGCATAGGTATTCATTATTCAATACAATTTATTTTATTTTCATTTTATATAAAATATGTTTGTAAATAGCACTTAAAACTCACAAATATCCAAAAATTAGCAAAATAAAATTTCGTATATGACATTAGATAAGTTTGAAATAATTTTGTATTTTACTCTGAATGTCTTAAGACCAACCAATAAAAATATGCATTTGCTAGAACTTCCGAGCCCTGGTGATAACAATGAACTAAGAAAAATAAAACATTCGATACTAATAGGCCACACGCACATGACTCACGGATATCTCATGGCCAAAGAAGACCCTACATCATTCCTGACGTGCGGAACAATCATTACAGTCAAGAATATACTGACAGAATTTCGTAAATTCAGTGAAAAGTGCATTGAACTAAAACTACCTGAGACACTATACGAGATGCTATCTCCCACACCCGAGACGACCAAAAAACTTCTCAATTTCGTCAACTTAACAGAACTGAGTCAATATTCTAACTTATATTAATATGTAAATCAGTAAATATAGGTAATAAGAAGAAATTAAGAAAGTATGTAAGAAATTAATGTAAATTAAATATGTAACGCCGGTTAATAACCAAGCAGCTGAAGCCTCGAAAATTAAAAAAAAAKAAAAGAAAAAAATATATAAAGATAGTGAAAATGAGATAACTATAAATTACTATTATATTGAATTCTACATACATTTTGGCCGTCTCTGGTTAGTTAATCTAGGATGTTTTTAATTGGGATGTTTTTAACGAAGGATATTTTGAGGKGGAACCCTAAAATGATACAGTCCTATAGGTATTAAACTACATACACAATAATATATGATATGTATATATATGTATATTCAAAGTTATTA